ACCAATTGCATATCCTGCATGTTTAAACAAACTTAAACATGATTCATAATACCAGGAAGGATCCAAACATGGCGATGGAGGACAGGAAATGCCAAATGTCGTGGTCGTCAAAGAACGATAGCAGGATGCAGTCCCTGTTGTGCTCACGAGACTCAGCCGGAGTTTTCTGTGCCACAGGAGAGAAACAAGTAATCCAAGTGTCTTTTCACATGAGCCCAAATCTCATAGTGTGCGTGTTTGTGTGTAGCTAACCTGCCAGGTGCTGAGACCCTGGAAGAAGAAATACAGCGCAAAGCCCCACACGACCGCCGTGAAGAGAATACACACCAGCGCCAGACACTTGATTCGCTCACCGCTCCGCAGCTGAGCACAAACAGAAAACTGTGAGCTCCAAAGGTCCCAAACATGTCTGCTACTTTCTCCTGGTGCTTCTCACATGCGCAGAGTTACTAAACACACAAACCTTCATGATGATGTAAAAGGCAAAGTAGAGCAACAGGTTACAGATGGCGATGGCCAACAGGTACGAGGCAAAGTCGTTGGGTTTCTGTATGAGGCCGTAGGCAGCCCTGCAGAGAGATAGCGAGATCCACATCACCTGCCTCCTCCGCACTCTGCTGATTTAAATGAGCTGGAAACACAGTTTGTTTTACTCACAGAGACCAGTTGACTAGGTTCCCCATCACAAGCAGAACCATGCGGTCCTGAAAGACATACACCAGCGGAAAAATGATTAAAAAGCAGGTCATCAGGACTCACCGATGCCTTTTATTGCTCTCTGCAACCACCGGTCGTTAAGATAAGATAATAATTGAGTTACCAGGTAAAAGCAGAAGGACCTGCTACCTTATGCAATAAACTGATACTGGATTTTCTGGCCGTTACTCACAATGTACATCGGCCCGCTGCACTGCCTGATGCAGTCTGTGTAGATGACGTAAACTATCCTACGCATGATCCCAGCGTCTGATACGTGAACACACAGGGAGGAAGGAGAGAGAACAACAAGGATTATAAGCTGCTTTATTTTATTAGAATATCCCGATAAGTGGATTTAAATGTTAGTTACTCTGATTTGCTAGCTTATGTGAGACACACGCTCACACGACAGCCTTAATATAATCCTGGACTACTTTAGTTGCCGTCAGTTATTAGTCTAAAGTGACTCATTTTAAGCCAATAAAGCCCACTGGACTGAGTTTGCTTTCTTTCTGTGATCTTACTGAGCCTCCATCGACCCATATAGTAGAGCTGTGTGCTGAGCAGCAGCGTGGCCAGAATGTGGATCACAGAGAAAACAATCCAGAAGGCTGTGTTGTCTCTCCCAAATACCTGAGAGGAAAAAAAAGCACAGCACAATGATTATTAAGAAATCCGTGTTTTTAGAACATAAAGCATAACTCAGGTTTTGTATTGCGTGTGTGTGCACTTACCACTCCCAGCACAGAAAAGAAGATGACAGCGGCGAGGCAGGCGTAAGCGGTGTAAGCGCTCGCGTTGATGTCTGGGTGTCTCTTCTGATAGAGCTTCAGCATACACAGTCCAGCAATCATGTACATAAAGGAGGTGTCTGCAGGGAGGAAAACAACTCAAATGTACCGCAT